CCTATTTACCAAAAATAGTAGCAAGAAAAGTCAACACACATTTAATGTAAACTTTATTTGGAAATTTTTTACTATCTATACTTATATTAAAAGCCATACTATTTACCAAAAATAGTAGCAAAAAAAGTCAACTCACATTTTATGCATACTTTATTTAGAAATTTTTTACTATATGCATTAATTGCTTGCATATATACATTTCCTATTCAAATATGATCAAAAAGATTATTTCCTTAAATAATTTTATTAACTTTTGCAATCATTTTACTGATATATATTATAATTCATATTTGTCGATAGTATTTTTTAATTTTTATTTGAGTATATAAAAAACAACTTTTTTTAAAAAAATTAATATTTTATGTATCATTTAAGAGATAATGATCACATCATTAAATGATATTACTGATGGCTAGATAATACATTAAAATACATTAATTATCCTTTAAAATTTTGGCATGTTATTTATTTGTATCTATACTTATTATATAAGGTATCCTATTTACCAAATTTAATAGATTGAAAAGTCAACGTAATTAATGCATTGCTATTTCTATTCAAAATTTTATTTAATTATTTTATTTATTTGTCTTATATCCCATAAAATCAGTTTAAGAAAAAAAAATTCCATAACATATGACAAGTAAAAAAAAGACGTAAAATCTTTATTAAAATAAAAAGACTTTATTTATTTGTCTTATTCCATATTAACATCAATTTTGTCAAAATAAATCCCATAATATCAGTGAAGTCAAAATTTGTACATAAAGTCTATCTATCCAAACAAAAGTCAGATTCAAAATTCTTTATCTAATTCTTTTTTATTATCTAGTTGTATGAGAATCTGTTCTGATTTTGTTCAATCCTCTAATTGTATTTGTATTATATTCCATAAAATCGGTTTAACAAAAATAATCCCATAACATCTGATAAATAAAAAAACAAAGTACGTAAAATCTTTACTAAAATAAAAAGGCTTTATTTATTATCTAATTTATTATCTAATTGTATGGAAATCTGTTCTGATTTTATGGTACGTACTACAAATTGTGCACCCGTGTTCAGGAGCTACTTAACGGGCAAGTTCTGTGAAAATGACTCATTTAGTGCTTCTGTCTTGTGCATACGGTATGTATTTTATTACACATACTAGAAAATTGTGCACATCGTGCATCGCACGAGCTCTGTACTAATAAATGACATTAAAATTGTGCACCCCGTGTATCACCCGTGTTCACATATTGGCCTATTATAGGTCACGTACTATACATACCCCGTACATTTTTTTATTCATTTCTATAATTATAAGAATGGATAAATGACTTTAAAATTGTGCACCCCGTGCATCGCACGATCTCTGTACTAGTATGTATTAAATGCTTGCATATTTACATTTATTATCAGATATGATCTTAAAGATTTTTTTATTAAATAATTTAGGCAATGATTTTACTGATATCCATTATTATTAATATTTGTCGAGTAATATTTTTTAACCTTTATTTAATTATATAAAACTAATATTTTTTTTAAAAAAATTAATATTATTAATCATTTAAAGATAATGATCACATCATTAAATGATTTTATTGATGGTCAGATAATAAAATTATATTAGTTATTCTTTAAAATTTTTAAATGTTATTTATTTGTATATTATTGTCAACTATGATAGTGTTTTTATCACTTTTTTTTTGTTATCTTTCAAAAATGAACTTATTGTAAAATATTTTTCTATTGCATAGTATGTTAAATAAACTATAAAGCCTTAGGATAAAAATTAGAAAAAAATCTCTTGATTATGTAAGAGATTTATTTTTTGGCAATTGCTAAATCATTTTTTTTTTTTTAAAAAAGAATTATTATGAGAAAATTGAATTCTAAAATACATTTGTGTATTTTGTAAACATTTATACTCAAAATTTTATTTTGAATTTCATTACATAAAGAAGACTACTTCTATAACTTTTATAAATAATAATAATGACATTATATGACTATAAATTTTACAATAAAATAATAATCGAGTATTATATGGTGAAGAAGAATAAATAAAATTTTTATTTTTTCTTATATCAATGAGTAAATATGTATTCTAAAATCAAATAATATTAGTATGACGTGTTAGCAGAATTATATATTAATTAACATGTTAATTTTTTAGCTTAAATAAACACAACTTATGTGAAATATGAATGATCCAAGCCTATAAGTTTTTTTTGTCTAGACGTTATAGAAATAATTAATTTCTTATATGTATCACGTACATCTTTAGTTTAAAAGCATTAATGATAAGGTCATATTTATACAAGTATCTAATATTAAATAACATAATATAAAATATTAAAATAAAATAGAAAGATTTGAATTTGATCCCCTCTTATCCCGAATTATAAGTGAACGAGATTCCTTATCCATTTTTTATTTAATGTTTTATTTGGTATTTCATTTCATTTCACAGGACGTCAGCAAGAAATCTACTCCGGTGCCCCCACAGTGACAGAGCACACACACACACACACACACACACACACACACACACACACTCAAAAAAGTCATGAATCGCTTGCGTCACGTGACCCGCACGTGCTCCAACCGTCTCCCGGCTATAACCCGCTACCTGGCAGACGCCACTTCCCTAATAACAACCCCGACGCCCCTCCGCCACTCGTCTCCTCATCTGCGCCGGCGGATTTCTCGGTTCGATTTTCTATCCCCTTTCGAAATCCTCCAAACGCTCCGATCGATCTCAATCCCCTCCTCCACCCCTCTCGCGCTGGATTCCATGGGCTCCCCGGCAAAGGAATCCGACCGCATTCCTGACGAAGCGAGGAGGATTCTCAAGTCGCTGGCGGCGGAGTGGAGCGACATCGCAGACGCTGAGGCGCTGCAGGTGGTCCCCCTCAAGGGGGCCATGACGAACGAGGTGTACCAGATCAGGTGGCTCACGAATGCCAGCCCCGGCGAGCCGCTGCCTAGATCCAGGAAGGTGCTGGTCAGGATCTACGGCGCCGGCGTCGAGGTTTTCTTCGATCGCGAGAACGAGATCCGTACGTTTGAGTTCATGTCCAGGCAAGGCCAGGGCCCCAGGTTGCTCGGCCGCTTCTCCAATGGACGCGTCGAGGAGTTTATTCGAGCTAGGGTAAACGTGCCTTTTTCTTTTCTTCTCCTTTTGTGTTTGGTTGATTGTGCGTTAAGCTTTTTGTTTCATCTGTTCGTGTCGTCGTCGATGAGCTTTGCTGTGCAGCTTTGATGCTTAAATTTGGGGAAAATTTCATTGATTAAATAATTCCATAAACTGATATTAAGTGATTAAGGTCCTGCTATAGTGTCTCCTGCTTTTTCTTTCTTCTCTTTAAGTTACCTGTCGATGTTTGTTGGTAGTCTGATGAAAATGGAACAATATCTGTATCTGTACTGTAAAAATGAAGTGATGAATATCGGTTAACATATGGCCTTCAATTTTACCGCTTTCAGACTCTTTCCGCGGCTGATTTGCGTGATCCTGAGATTTCTGCTCTTATAGCAGCCAAAATGAGTGAATTCCACAAGCTAGATATGCCTGGACCCAAGACTGTTGTCCTATGGGGTAGATTGCGGTATTTTCTTCTTTCTCGACTCTTTGATTTTGGGTTCACTATACATTCATTGATATTTGTATGAGATATGTTCTCGGTTATTTCAGCAATTGGCTTAAGGATGCCAAACGTTTGTCTCTGAAGGCAGAAGCAGAGGAGTTTCGGTTCAGTGTCCTGGAAGATGAAATATCAGAGCTGGAAAAGAAGCTCTCAACCGATCATCAACTTGTTGGGTTCTGCCACAATGATTTGCAGTATGGTAACATAATGATGGATGAAGTGACCAAATCAATAACCATCATTGTAAGTTATCAGGCTATGGTGGTTGCCCTTTGTTAAGAATACGCTGTTCACTTGAGTCCTGTCTGGTTAAGTTTTCTGCTTAATTCATATAGTTATTGACAAGATGTGAAAAAGGCACCGTTGACTTAACCACCGGGGAAGCTATTGATATAACAAAAACTTGTAAAAGTAAATAGGTTAAACTTTTAATTTTGTCTAAATATTTTGTGATGTGATTGTATCTTCTTGTGCACTTTTAATGCACATTCAGTCAGTCTATCAATGCCTTTAGGTGGAGATATGGCACCCTGGTTATGTGACTTATTAGACTGTGGGGGTGGCAGGTATCCTAATGGAATTTGATTGACTCTGGTCAAAATGCATATGATTTTCGTCAGGTAAACCTGATATTGAGTATGTTGTGTTTTCTTTACTCTTCGATTTTTCGAGTGGCGGAGGATGGTGTAAACTTGTAACTTTCAACCCTGAAGAACATCATCAGACTTAAACTTAACAATATTTAGCTTGATTTCACCTTTAAACGAATGTGACACGGAACTGTCTTTCTTCATTTGGTTGTAGTGGCATCTTTCCTTCTCCCACACCTTTATATCGGTCTTTCCTCCTAGCTACAGGTTGAGGTTTTGCATTTTATCTTTCAGTGATTGATAGTCAAATGACATTACTTTATTGAAATTTCTAACAAGCAATGTTTATCAATTACATTTATTATTTTAAAAGCAGCTATAACAATATGATACACAAAAATTATGACATGAGACTCTGGCATCTGATATTATCTGAAAGGAAATGAAACAGTTCTAAAGTTGTGACTTTAAGGTTTAGTTCACAATAGATATAAGATTCTGCAGCTTCTTTCTCAAATGTTTCTGTATACAAACCAAAGTTAAAATCAGTTAATGTCTGATTCGTTAACCAATGAGCTTATGCTTCTGGTTTTATTCCTTTAATATAAACGGCATTCTCGTTTTTGCAGGATTATGAATATGCGAGCTACAACCATGTAGCTTTTGATATTGCAAATCATTTTTGTGAGATGGCTGCAGACTATCATACTGAAACCCCACATGTCCTGGACTACAGTAAATATCCAGGTACTTTGTTTCTTTAGCATTAATAACTCGATCTTGCTAATATGACTGGTGTTCAAATTGTATTGAAATAATGGTTTTTGGTTTGCCCCCTACCCAGATTTAGAGGAACGTCGAAGATTCTTGTGTACCTATTTGAGTGCTTCAGGTAACTATTACTTCCAAATTCATATATTTTACCATCGGCAATCACCTTGCAGCTGTTTACTTTCCCGGGGTCTGGCTTCATATAATGATGAGTTCTTTAGG